AATTTTCTAAAAGTACTAGTGACCAATTTATTGCAATAATTTCTGACCTTTAAAAACTTTTCGATAAAGGCTACTTTCTAACATAGAAAGATATAAATATTATATTTTTCTCGAGCAATTTCGTAATAGTAAAGCATTTCGATATATAAGATTTTCAACGCCGTACTTTCATTTTATTTTTATTAAAATATTTTTTCTGGGTTGACAAAAATTCAATTTCTTCTCAACAAACGATTTAATTGTGCATAGAAATTTCAGAAAATTTAATAATCGCTGTTTTTTTAGCATTCGAATACTTTCTTTTTTATTAAATTTTATTTCGCCTCACTTATTTTTTTCTCAAATTGCAAGACAGCGCAAAAAGTTTTTTTATCAAAAAAAGCGCTTCCAAAATGATTTGGATGGCAAATTCGGAAACTATTAAAGGCAAAAAGTGGATGTGATTCAATTTGTCTAAAACTTTGCCAAAAACATCTCTTGCTTACTGAGCAAGATGCTTTATAAATTTTCATGAATTGAAAAAAATGGAAAGAGATGAAATTTTAATTGTCTATAATTATAAGTTCAAAAGTATTCGTTTTACTAAAGAACAAATGAAAAATTGACAAATTCGTGGACTAAACTTGTAATTTGTTTAATTAACGCTATAAAAAATTGCTAAAATAACGATTGTTCACATAATTTTGATAATTTTTCTTTTTAAATTCTTCATAATTTTTTTGTTTCTTTTTTGCTCACAAATTGAGACGTTAATATATTTCTTACATAACTTTTATTTAAGGCATTCCGTTGACAAGTCTTGAGCTTTTAATATTTAGCAAAATCAATATTTATTAAAATAAAAATTCTTTGACAAGAAAAAAAAGTCAGCAAATTAAAAATTCTTGGCAGTATTACGTAGAATGGAAAGGAAGAAAACGATGGTCATCTCAGAAATCTCTCTCCCATTTAGTTTCTCAACTATTATGAATTAAAACTTCCTGATGACATGCCTAAAGCTTTCGAGGATTGTTTTTATCCCAACACAACTGTTATCCATCAAAGAAATCATTGTTATGACTAATTACAATAATTGCTTTCATTCTGTGGTCATAACAGGATGATACAAAGGTATTATCAGAAGCATTTGAAATTGATAAATTTTTTTTAAGCTATGTAAATGATTGGTTATTAAATTATCAGTGATTATGTTCATCCATTTGCATATTAGATGAAAACTAATATTTCAACATAGTTAAATCGAAGAAATAATATTTATATACATTTACATCAATGTTCTATCGTTGAACTTTCACTATGATTGTGATTCTTACTTCAGAAATTATGCCTGGTGATTCTAATTTCAGAAAATTTTTTCGAATCAATTATCTGAAGAACACTAATATAACACCACCAATTCATCTCATCAACACTCACATCACTTATCTTTGTTTTGTAATTTTCACAAAATACTTATTAAACCTGTACATGATTAATAATTGAAAAAATTTTTCCCCTGCAAAGTGGAATCATTAGCTAACTAGCTTTTTTAGCAATAGGTAATAATTACACCTGACATCGATTTTACAGAAATATAGCCGATTTCCTTCTGTATTTCTCTCTTCCTTTCTCAGTCTCTCCCCTCTCTCCCATTCTTTGTCTAAATATTGGATAAAGTGGAGAGGATAATTTTATCAAAATAGCAAGTATTACTGATTTTGAAATAGTAAATAATTAGCTGAGTTATTTTTAAATGATACATTTTGATTTAATATATCCTCTTATTTGCCCCATTATTACATTGAAGATATTCATTTTTCATTTAATTTCATTACATTTAGTGATAATAATTAGTGCTAAATATTTTTAAAAAAGAACAGATAACAAGTAAATGAGTTTCTTTGAAAAGTAACTTGACATTTTGGCACACTTGCTTCATTTTTTTTTTTTTGCTGTATGCCAAGACAAGTTAATTATTCCTAATTATATTTGGTTGATTTTACCAGTGAGGGAAATTTTTAAAAATGAATCGCTAACTGAGAATCGATCAATGGAAGTGAAATTGTCAGCAATCTCAAATTCCAACAAATTTTGACAATTTACCGATATTTTATATGACTTCGTTAAAAGCATTAACTAGGAATAGGCAATGATTGATCGAAAGAATGACAAGATGTGTCATTGTTATAAGGCAATTAGTAATTATTAATTAATGGCAGACGATAAAGAAAGTGCAACAGGACTTCAACAACACTTTCAAATTGAATTATTACTAAGAAAATACGGAAAAAAAAAGTTGCATTATGTCATTTAAATTATGCTGAAATTGAAAGCATTTTCTCTTTTAAATTGTAAACATTCTAATTCACTTTGTATATGCAACAAATTAGCCGCAAGGGAATTGTTGAAGGACCGATTGTAAATTCAATAACAATCCTTTATTTCGATTATGTCATGAAAAATTGATAAATAAAAAGAAAAATAGCCACTGAGAAAAAAGGGAAAAAAGAAGGAAGATGTAGCGAATATTGTTCGGGTTCATTTGAGAGGGTGATGTCGGAGACCACTATTGCCAGCGACATAACGCGAGATGTCGT